TCAAGCGAAAATAAGTTAATAATATTAAATATATATATATATATATATATATACTTTCAACCATCAATACATTTTATATATTAAACTTACATGTTCTTTTCAAACTGTCAATTATATGATTAGAAGTGAATACATATATATTCTATATAATATATATTTAATCTGTAGAAATATCAATCTAAAAGATTAAATAATTTACCCATATAGCGGGATAACCCACCCAATACATAGATATATATATAGATCCGACATAAAGTCACCATATACACACATATATATATATAGATATAGATATGGAAAATAAAAAGATGGAATATGATCCAAAAAATAAAAGGGAATACATGAAAAAAGGTTGTAGAACAATAATTAGAAACATGTGAAAAGTATTGATAGAAGCATTTTCTGAGAGGGGTTTTTTCCATAAATTAAGAAAGTTTTTGGAATCTTATCAACACCACTCAGCCTTTTGCCAAAGTTTTTATCTTTAAATGTAATTATTACTTTTTTTTTTTTTTTTAATAAGTAATAAAGAAAATAAACTACTTTGCTCTCTCTCCGTGTATTTATATATTGTGTATGTATATATATTTGTTGCTGATCACGGGGGAGATGAACTCCAAAGACTTTTTGTTGCCTGCTTTTTTCAATATTTCCAAATCTCTATGCATAGACTCCAGAGAAATTGACAAAACAAAACTTGAAATGCAAGTTATTTAGGGTTAATATATATGGGTATTTCCATTTGAGGTTGGTAAGGTAATGTAATGTATATACACACACACGTATATGCAGACACTATGCAAGAACTTATATAGCGATCAATTTTAATGGTATAATATTTTTAAGTAAACATTAGTCAACTATATGGAGATCGAAGTCAATTAATATATACACATAATTTCTACCATGTACAGAAATTCATGAGATTCAATATAGGATATTATATAATTGAATATAATAATAGAGTTTGGATAGGATGGGATTGTAGGTAGCAATCAAAGGTGGTATTATACAAAAACATTATCTCTATCTCCCCCTCAAATTTATTTATTTTTTTTTTTAAAAAAAAGAAATTATCAGTCTGAGTTCTCAAGGTGGCCACGGCAGTAGTAGTAGACGAAGAATGCAAGTTGTTTGTGTGTATAGTAATACAAGTGCTGTACCTTGCAATGATGGGTTTTGACATTGGAGACAAATATAATTAGATTGCATGTACGTATACACATACATATACATATATATATATATATATATATATAGATGAGGGGAACGTGTTTAGAAAATGTCAAAATCACAGGCCATACTGCTCCCATAATTTGAGCATTTACTCGGCCATTGCACATGCCAAATATTCAATCATCACTCATCTGCATGCATGCCCCTAACGTTGATTCTGATCTTCACCCAGTCTCCATGGCTATCCTGAGCTCAACAAATCTATAGAGATAAATGTATTGGGTGTACAAAAATTCATCATTGTAAAATTAAAATATTTTATTTTTAACAAAATTTTTTTGTTTTAAAGAGTTTAATTAATGTTGAGACTGTAAATGAAGTCCCATCCTGCTGCAAAGGAAAATCAAAAATAATTCTCCTGAGAAAGACTTTGGTTATGATATTTAATACATGATTTAAAAAGAGCACATATTTTGTGACGAAATTGTTCGTGATTACTTTTTTTCGTACAAAAAAGTTAATCTGTTTCGATATATTTAGTATGAGTGTGAAAAAGTTGATCAACAAAAATATCGACGACACTAATGTTGTCACAAAATAATTAAGGATGATGAGATAAGAATGCAAGCCAAGTTATTTCGACGATAGTGGATGCCATTGGCCTGCGTTCTGCCTCTGAACTAGATCGAATAACAGTATGTTACTTTTTAAAACATTATGAGATGCAGTGTGCACTTAAAAAGGAAGTAAAAACTAGTTGTGTCTTGTTTTTTCATTCGACTGTAACGAAACGAAATGTAAATCTATTAGAGTGTTAAAAATAAATAACTTATAAAATACTTAGTTTAGAACAATGTCGATTCATGCAAAAATTTGCACTATAACCATAATTTAGTCTCTATTTAAACCCTTTAGCTATTAATTATGTTTGAGAGTTAAAATTATCCCCCCCGTTTTTAACTCCTTCCCCCCCAACAGCAACAGCAAGCAATGCATTTATTTTCACTTCGAATAACACCAAAACAATCCCTAAAATAGGAAGACCAAAATGGTAAGTCCAAAATAGCCCCTATTTCCTCATTTATTTCATTCCCAAACAGTAAGTAACAGCACTGAACAGTCCCTAATGAAAGACTAAAACAGTAAGTTTTGAAAACACAAATAGAAAACCAAACATGTGTTGTATCCAATTGAGAGATCGGAGCAAATTGATAGCATAAGATTTGAATTCCTACCCTTTTTCCCCTCCCCCCCCTCTCACCGTTCTCTACTCAACTTCCTTCCCAGCTCGTCTCTCTGTCCTCTGTTGTTGCTGAGAAAGCAGGAAGAAGACAATCAACGCCCGAGACGCAGGCCTTTTTAGGTTTACTTAGGTAAACGGACTGGGCCTTGCTTTCAGAAGGACTTGGATTTGTGTTGGGTTTTGGATTTTAATTGGACGGGGCTTGGGTTAAGAACAATAGAACCGCACAAAAGATTAAAAATGTTGGGCTGTTTGGGTCTCTCTAATTGGTTTAATAAGATGGTTTTAATGGCTTTTAGCAAAAATGGCCTTTGGGTTTTAATTAGAAAACGAGTTTTTCGGCTTAAAAAATGGGAGATGGCCCTTTAATACAAAAATAAGTAATAATAGCAATGATAATAATAATAATAATAATTTTAAAAAATAAAAACATAAAAATTACTACAGTCCAAAGGCATAGATCCTAAAAACTTAAACCCCAAATCACCAAACCCTAAACTTTAAATCCGAAAATCTTAAACTTTAAATCCTAAACCATCAGCCTAAAAACTAAAAAGCCTAAATAAAAATACTCTAAACCCTAAACCATTAAACTAAAAAACCTTAAACTCTAAAACCCTAAACTTTAAAAATATAAATTTTTAAAAAATACTAAACCATAAACT